AAACTTGAAGTTACCATGGATTTGTCACAGACATCCCCTGGGATGAACTGAAAAACATAGTTCGCTGAATAAGTCTGGAAGCAGGTTTTCACAATTTTGCCCCCCCCCCCCCCCCCCTTTTTTTTTTTTTTTTTTGCAATGCCAGTTTGCCAGTTTTAGCGTTCTTGCTGAACTTTATTAGAGTAGACAACATAGCAAAAACTTAATTTGGTCTTTTCCTTATAAAGGCTTTTGTGTTGGTAATAAACTTCAGTAAAGTCGCCTTTATTAAATTATGGCACACGTTTAATCGCGTGGATGCCAATTCGTCTTTGAAACAGCAAAACGGGAAATCAGGGGGGAAAAAAAGGATACTTTTTGCACTGAATTTCTGCTTTGCTAACAGCACCAAAATGACCCTCCTTTCTAAAATGCATTTTACACACCCATGTGGAGTGAGAGCCCAGGACGAGCACGGCCTCATCCCAAGCCTTGGAATTGGCCCTTTCTGTCCACAGGGAGAGAAGAAACCTCTGGTTATATCACTTGTGCCTCTGTGCAGGACAATTTGTTCACTGCAGCTGAAATGTAGCAGAATTATGGTAAAGATGAGTTTATAACTTCAGGCATTCCTTTGAAATTCATGAAACTTAATGATGCACATGTGACAACTCCAGTAAGTGTGACACGACAGACAGACAAAAGACTCAAATGACACCATTCACGGAACACAAATTGTATAAAGTAGTGTCCTTTTTTCACAACTATATATTATACCTGCAGGTGATACCAGGAGAGTAAAAGCCTGTATTTATCTGGCTGGATAAATACAGGAATACTTCCAGTAGGTTCATTATTCTCTTGACATTATATTTGATGATAACAATGTGTCAATATCGTTCATGTTGGGAGGGTTTATTTTTTTTTCAAGGGAGAGGGATTTAAATTTACCAGTGCCAATATACTGTACCTGTGTGAGGTTCCAGTTATCCTTTAGATAGCCAATCTAATGTGCACCTTATGTACCCTATATTTTACCTTTAATGGGCTCAAAAGAAATGGTAACTTGAACTGTAGAGCTGAAGTTGGCCACATAAATACATCTGAAACTAACACTGAACTCACAAACAGAATTCTGTATCTACAACCATTTTGGATTGTCTCTGTGTGTAGTAAGTAATTGGAGATATGCTATGAAAGTGATACTGTACTGGAAGTCCCTTTTTATTTTCTTACAGTTCATGCAAATTTTTCATCTTTGCTAACATTTCACTACCAAAAAAAAAAACCACAAAGGAATTTGTGCTGTATGTAAATTTTGTGTGCATTGCAATTCACTTTGCTCAAGATTGTTGTTGGTGTAATTAAAACATAGATACTTAATGTAAGAGAACTTGGTCACTGGACTGCTCTTGAGTAGTTTAAAAACCTGTAAGTAATTTATGATATAAAGGAATTTTAAGCCCTTTTAGAAATTGTAAGTTTTCAAGAAGATTTCATCATGTGTATTTGCTTACTTTTTGCAACTTACCGCTCTCTAAAACCAAACTTTTTTTTTTCCCCTACTGTGTTATTTTTCCTAGATACTCTATTTTTTACTATTTTTTTTTTTTGCCTCTGCAGCAGCCCATTTTGCGAGGCACCCGGTTCTGAGCAGAGGCGCCCATTAGACGGAGGGAGCGCTGGGTGCGAGCGCGGCGCTCCCGGGCGGAGCGGGGTGCCGGCCGCACATTCCGGGCGGGCCAGCCGGGCTCTCGGGAATGCCGCCCGGCAGGGAGCGAGCTCTCCGTGCGGGGCTGCCAAGGAGCCGCCGCTCACCTGCGCCCGGGCAGCGGGGCCGCCGCTCCCGAGGCAAGAATACAGTAAAAAAAACTCTTAAAAAAAAAAAAAAAAAAGTTGAAAGATAAACAACATTATGTCGATAGCACCCTTAAAAACCTGCTCGTGCAACCGCCCATTTAATGCCTTCTTTCTTGAAAGAAAAAAAAATTAAAAAATAAGTCACTCGTCCTAGTGCCAGAGCTTCACTTATGTTGATAGCGGTTTAATGCCAAGTTTTCTGTACAACACTGTTGTTGAAGTTTATACAGTACAACAGTATTGTTAAAGTACAGTGTACTGGAGGAAGTGTTTTTGCAAAATGCTTCATGTTTTGAAGGGAAGGGTGTAGAAATACATTCAGCTTGCTTTTACAGTTTAGATCATTTCAGAATTGCCTGTTTGGTATTTCAGTGTTGTTCCCCCATAATTTAGTAGGCCACTGATCCACTGGAATTAATGCAAGTTATACAGCAGTAAATAGAACTTTCTTAAGTGACCTGCACAATGGCACTATGTGTAATTGCTGTCCTTTCTCTGAAGTGTGCACCCCTGTAATCCCCAGACTGGTCCTTTCAGGGAATGGTGCACAAGACTGCTTTGCTTTTCTAGTTAGATTTTAATTATTTTTATTTTCAATTCCTAGAGAGTACCTCTAAAAACAAAAGCTGTCTAAATGTTCAGTAAAATTATTCTTCGTGTTTTTTTTTTTTTAAATAATCTCCACTGGAATTATTTTAATGATACAATAAAATAAAAAAGAAGGAATTTACACTTTTCTGGATAACTTCATATTTAAAAAAAAATTTATTGGATTATAAAGAAAAAAACAACCTAAGAATGCACCTGATCATATTTTATTAAATATTTCTGAAGTCTGTTAAATTACAAACCACCCCATATTGCAAATGAGCTGTATTATCTGGAGAGCAAAAAATCATGATCTGCTTAGAGGTGACCTCAGTGTGGATGTCTCTGTCATACCAAACTGAGAGGAAAGAACAAGAGATGCCACTCTGAGTTAAAATACAAGGAAATTAATTAGTGTTCATCAGGAGTATTTATAATGAGTTTCTAATAGACAGAACTTGAGATAAAGGAAAAGTAAGGAGATATAAAATTCTGTAATAGTATAATCTGTGGTGTGAAAATACTGGCTTACTACTCTTTGCATAATTTGAATTTATTCAGGGATGATGAATCTTAAAATAATTTTTCCACCTCCCTTTTTTGGAGTTTCATTTCTGTTAAGAGAAACTTACAAGTTGAACTTGAGGTAATTGTTTTCCTGTTTCCTGAATCCTAATTTTTTAGTTCTGCAGTAACCTAAAGTTAGACAACTTTCAACCTTACTTCACGACTGTGGTGACAGACAGAATGCATTTATGTGTCTCCTTGAGGAAGGGTGGCTTTGGGTGGATGAATACGAGCCATAATTGTGTAAAGGCGAGGCACTTTTAACCCTCCAGATGCACCAGAATTATCCCCATTAGGAGCAGGCAAAAGAAGGGATGAACCTCAGCTGTTTTCACATTAACAAAAAGTGAGAAACGAAGGGGCAGGTATGGAAAGTAAAGAACAAGAGGACCTATGTTTAATATAGAAAGTAGAAAAATAAATAGGGAGTGAAAAATCATGTCTGAGAAACAAGGGGGAAAGTCATTCAGAAAGCTGATTAAATACAAGTAAAGCACTCTGAGCTAAGAAATTTGTCTACGTAAGTCCAGTCCTTCCCTAAAAAATAGGTCTGTCTTTTATATTTCATTGGCATTAAAAGTTGTTGACTGCACTGTTACGTGTAATCTCTTTTTTTCTGTGCAGGGTTAACATTCTCATCTGTGGATGTTCTGTTAAAATAAATACTATCAGGAATGTCATGCCATTATTTTAAAACAAAAATTATAAGAGTTTTAGGTGGATGTGATGACTATCTGCTGCTAAGGCTGTTATCCAGAAATTTTTCTTGCTTTTACTTTTTACCCACCCAGAATTTATGCACATCCTCTGCATCCACAACCTATATGCAATAGAGACCAGTTATTAGAAGAGGTCAGAATTACTGGGTGTCATTTTACCGAAATAAATATTTGTGGGAAAGTTACTGTTTAAATATCTTGTCAACTGTGTCCTGATAATCTCTAGTATGCTTTTACTATAATTCCCTAAAAATAAATATTAGAAGCATTTTGTGGTTTCACACCATTAAATAAAAAAAAATAAGTTGGTAAGGGAAAACCATAAAACATATATTTTGCTTACAGAAGAAATGTGTATTCTCCTCAGAATGCTGGTGGTTGAGCATTTTCTGGAGATCTGAGGCTGGATGGAAATGGGTAACAGAGGTTCCCTAAATTCGCCTCGGCAGGAGTCGTTGGAGCTCGGAGAAACCCACATGTGCCACCCCGTGCCCTCTGGACTTGGCTGGGGCTGGGCATTTTGGGAGCAGGGCTCGCTGCTGCCAGCCCGGGCTGGGGCTGGGCTCCAGGGCCCGGCTGCCGCTCCAGCTCGGGCAGGGCCGGCCGTGCCAAGCACAGCGCGTGAGGTTCCGCGGCCGCCTCGTGAGCCACGATACCTGGGCCGTGGGACAGAGCCTTTGGCAGCATCTTGACCACAGCTGGGCACTGAAATGCTGCACTCGGGAGGTTATGGAAGGAGGAAATGCATCTTGGAACAGCCTCCGAGTGTGAAACCCTCTGCTCCATTTTGCTGGAGAGTGTGTTGGGGAGCAGCCGCTTTGGATGGGATAGAGATGTACATCTATGGGCTTTCTTTTTACGTTGCAGTTTTTTCTATCACCTCATGATCAATATTTAGTGGAATAAAATATCAATTAATACACTGTTTTTCCTGAAGAATATTTTACAAACTTTGATACACATGGTATTGACTTTTCCAATCAGTTGAAGCTGCCTAGCTGCTTTAAAAGTATATCAGGAAAGCAATGATAGCATAAGCAAAATGAATAGTAAGTGAGAGGGTCAACTATGACTTTCTCTAAGTAACTATCTCATCCCTTTTTTCTTACAGTAACATATTTTCCACAAAGAAGATTCTTCAAGGTTGAATCTTGTACAGTCTCCTCCCCCTCTCCACCCTCCCCCCCCCCCTCACCCCCCCCCACCCAGTGCAGGGCAAATCAAATGCTTGACAACGTTTTTTGTTAGGAAAGCACATGAAAAAAAATTTTGAATATACCAATAACAGAAAAAGTCTCTATATTTTTATTGCAAGAAGGAGATTTCATTGGCTGAATGAAATGGCGAGATGTGACGCAAAAGGACACTTGGACGATGGAAATGCTGATGTATGCCAAAGCAGGCGCACCAAGAAATGCTGTTGCTATGAGAGAAACAGAGGGAGAGGGAGGGAGGGAGAGACCGTGAGAGAGCAACTTGTGGAGGCCTTAGTTTTCCTTTTTGGCTTATAGCAGAGAGACTGCAACGTCTCCCGTTTCTAGCAGGGAGGGTTTAGGAGCTTCCAGTGGGTATTTTCATGAGGCTGAGCATTTAGAGGAGAGGAGGGAGATGAGAGAGATGCAGGTCACCTTAGAGCACAAAAGCAATTGGAAAGTAGGAGGCTGTATGTACTGAGCCAATGATCTGTGCTATGATAGATATACAAATTAGTACGGCAGATGAAGCAGCTTAGCTCATTATCCACCTGATGGTACTGAGACTTACAATTCAAAATGACAGAATTAAAATGCAGGCACACACACACACACACAGACATATATTTATAATGACCCCACCTTTTCATCTTATGAATTATCCAGCTGGGATACCGACGTCTCTTGTGTTATATTCTTAAAGAGCTGCAATAAATTCACCTTGTGAGTCCATGAGCCAGAAAAGGGGGGAAATAATTTGCAGGAATTTTTTTTTTGTCTATCTTCTTCGGCAAGGGGGAAAAAAGTTTGTGCTATGAACTTAGCCTAGCAGCTTCTGGAACGTGAGCCAAAAGGGGCAGGAAGTTGTTTTACAATAGCGTTACAGTGATCTGCCACAAATGGAAAAAGCCAAATGTTGGACTCGGCAAAGAGAAAAAACATCCTTCTCCCCCTCGCTTCCCTCCTCTTGCCCCTTAAGAGAGAAAGAGGGAAAGGAACGCTGAGCTAGAAGTTCTTTTTTAATTACTTCTTGTAAGTAATTGAAAGATTATCTTACTTGCGTATTCCATGGCAAGCAGGAGGGAAAGAAGTATCAAAGGGACGTTTAAAAAAATGCACTTGGTAACTAGCAACGGGACTTTTGGCACAATTCCTTGAGTTTGCTTGAGGTTATGGAGGGGGGATGGGAAGAAGAAAAGCAAGTCGACGCAGCACGTTTTCTTTAAAGAAGGGGAGGGTGTTTGGAGGCAAAACTACATAATTTTTTCTTTTTTTTTAAGGAAATGTATGTTGATCTTCTGAAGCTGAATCCTCAGGCATTTGTGGCCCGTCCTTGCAGCCTGGTATGTTTTTTGTGAGTGTGTGCGAGCGCTCTCAATCAAACAGCAATCATGGCAGCTGTTTTTCTTCCAGCACAGCAGTTGAGCTGTCTCGCCCAAATGCTTATCAGCTTTTGACTCGGTGCCAAGAGAGTTATAAGGGCCAAGCAGCCTGAGCTTGGCTGTGCAGCTGGTTTGGAAGTAAGGGCATGAGAAAAAAAAAATCGCAAAGTTTTTCTGTCACATACAGTATTTACTTTTTCAAATAGCCATTTTCAGCTCGGTAGGTTGGGGTTGGTTTTGTGTGTGTGTGTGCTGTAGTTCGTGGTCCTTGCGGACTGCTGTGTTACGCAGAGCGGTGTAGGTGTGTGACTGCAGAGAGGAGCCTCTTCTCTCCGTTTAATCCCGGGAGATATTTCCGTAGAAACCACCCCCCCACACACACACCCCCACCTCCCCCAATTAAAAGCTTCATTAGCCGCACTGCCCTGTCAAGCATATTGCCATAGCGTGGGTGCATTTACATTCCAGCGCAGCGCCTTTCCTCCCATCGCTGCCTCTCTGCCGGGTCCCCTCCCTGCGGCGCCGTCCCCATCGCAGCCCCCGGCCCGCGGGGGTACCCGGCGGGGGTCGCAGCAGAGCCGGGCTCGGTGCGTGTCCGTGTGCCCGTGGCTGCGGGGGATGGAAAGGAGCCTGTCCGCGCAGGGCCGTGCCGCTTTCATCATCAGCTCCAGCCCGCTGCGTTTCGCTGGCTCACGTCGTCCTCCTCCTCCTCCTCCGCCAGACTGCTCCAGTCGCTCACAAGAAGGAGGCTGGACTCTGGAAAGGCGGCTGCTGCTCGCATTCTTGCTGCAAGGGCCTCCCCTTCAGACGGCCTTTGCCAGAGCAGAACTTTTAAAAATGCTACAAATAGGATCTTCTTTTTCTTCTGCTTGCCTGAGCCCTCCTCTCCTCTCCCAGCGTTCCCGAGCGGGGCTGGTTCTCGCTTCTCCTGCGCTGTACATCCCAATGCAGAGGGCAAAGCTCCGAGGGCTCGCCCCTCTGCTCATCCCTTTTCCCTCACTCCCTTTTCCCTCTGTTAAGGAAATGGATTCCTTTGCCTGAGCAATGACTCGGGCTTTGCAGGTTTGTGTGCTCTGAGGATGAGAGCTTTTGCTGGTGATTTTCCTCCCCGGAGTCCCAGTGCACAGTGCTGCTCAGGGAACGAGCCTCTTGCTTTCTCGGCCTTTCTCTTTAGTAGAAACATATTTTTAATGGCTGTAGGTATCTGCACCATGTGAAATAGGGCGTGTGATATCCCTCCAAACCCCTTGTAATTGGACCGTGGCTGAAAAGGAAATATGGGGGGGATGTCTGGGGGGCAGGGGGTGCACAGGCTGTTTCGTCCTTGCAGACCTTCCCCCCCCCCACACCCCCCCTTTTCTCTGCTGAGGAGGGAAAAGGGGATGTGCAGTAAAATGCCGTCTCTGGGACAGGTGCCAGCTCCCAGACAAAAGAAGTAAAATAGGCGGTAAAGAGGGAGGGGGGGTTGGGGGGGGGGGAAATTAATAGGCAACAAAAATAGGAATCGAAAATCTCCGAGAGGCTGGGCTGGCGAAAGGGCTGGTGCCCGACCGGCCTTTTTGCTGAATATTTTCTGTGCGATGGGTGGGAAGGAGAAAGTTGCGGCACACTTTTTATTCCCGTCTCCTCTGCAGACGTTTGGGAGCGTGAAGGGAGGATGCCTTTTTTTTCTTCTTTTTTTTCTTCCCCCCCCCCGCCCCCCCCGCTTCTTCTTTTCCCTCCTTTCTGCTGAATTATTCATATTGTCAGTGGTGAAGCCAGGACTATTAGCATGCATCAGACATGCTGTTTGTCTGTTTGCTAACATTCTTCATTCAAGACTTGTTAACTACCAGACAAGCTTAACACGCTTCTCTTTTTTCCCCTCCTCTCCTCTTTCCCTCCGTCTCTCCCCCCTCGCTCCCTCCCTCGCTCCCTCCCCTCTCTTCTCCCTTCCTTTCTGCCTGCTCTGCTCCCTTCCTTTCGCCGCCGTCCCTGCCACCCCTCGCAGCCGCCCATTGTTGCCGGCGGGGCCGGTGCGGGGCGCGGGGCGAGGCCGCCTCCCGGGCCTGCCCGGCCGCGCAGATGCGCCGCCTCGCCCGGAGCCTCCCGCCCGCCTTCCCGGGGACTGCGGAGCTGCGAGGGGAACACCCAGCGCCGCATCCATCGGCGGCTCGCGGGCCGCCGTCCCGCCCTGCCAGGGTAAGCTGCTCCCGCCGGAGCGCAGGGGATGCCAAGTGGGAAAATCAAGTTTCGGGAACTACGTGGGGATCGGCACATTGGCTCGCGGCTGCCTGATAATTTATGATTAACCAGGAGTGCGTTATTAGCCCGGCGAGGTGCAGGCTCATTCGGGAGGATCGCTTTGCTGCCTATTAAGGATGTGATAGACTAATATTTGCTATTGTTGCTGGTTTTTTAGGTTCTCTTCTCCCTCTCTATCGAGTCTGCCCCTCCCTTCGCTAGCCTGTTTAAAACCAGCAAGCTTCATTTTCTTAGCAGACAAAGGTCGATCACAGCTTTTATTTCTGAATGCAAATGTTCTAGGACTTGTGCCAGTCCTGCCTTCATTGAGCACAATATAACTGCTTTCCTGAATGGCGCTTCCCCCTTCCCTTCTGAAAAATAAAAATAGAAGGGAGCTTAAGAGAAGAAACAAAGTTGGGCAGTGCAAGTTTTTTACATTTATTTAATATTTCAGCCTGTGTGAAGCATTATTAAGCATCCCTGTGCAGAGCAGCTGTACCGTAGCCACCAGCCAGTGCATGGGGTTTATTTGTAGGGGCACATACGAGAGAAGGGACCTGGTGGCATTGCTCAGCTCCTGGCTTTGCAGGTAACTATCTGATGCTCTTCAATGATTCTATCTCATCACAATTACATTTCCTGATTTTCTTAGCAAGATGAATTTGAACGTAAATATTTTCATCATTCGTGTTTAAATTTTTTGATACCTGGAATTGTTCGGTATTAGTGTCTAATTACCATTTTTATCATATATTTAAAAATACTGTTTTTCAAGGCCTTTAAAGGTCCATAAGTGCCAAAAGTGTATTTTCTTTTTATCTTTTACGTATGCGATCTGGCACATGCTCACGCACACTCCCACTCTTTTTCTCTTTGGGTGTTAATGAAGGAATTTATTTTAAGTAGAATACTTAAATATTAGAGTAATGCCATTTATAGACCAAAGTAGCATGTGGATAGAGATGTACGGAGTTAGGCGCAATTTGACAGATAGTTAAACACTTAGGATTTATTACAACTGTGAAATTGCCAAACTTAAAATAATAGGTATTTTCAATTCTTTATATAGACTAATCTATCTGGAAATTAAAGTATCTGAAAATAAATATATTTCAGGACACTATATGAGGAAACTAGTCCTTTCATATGTATTTCTAAACCAAAATGCTTTTTCTGCACAATGGAAAAAATGGGAGGCTTGTGTAAAATATTTTCATCTTTTCCTGTTAATTTTATTTATGCCTAGGATATAAAGTAAATAACAGACCAAATACAAATAAGTTCAGGGGCTTTCTCTGGAAAAAAAAAAAAAAAAAAAAAGAAAAAAAGAAAACCCCCCAAAAACACCCCAAAATAATTTGAAAATACCTAGTGACTTATAAAAAAATAATTTTAAATTCAGGCCATTGACAGCATTGTATCAAAACCATCTCCGTATTGGCATTGCATTAGAAGTGTTTTATGGCAACATAAACTGAAATACAACTCATAACTGTGAGTAGTAAAGCAGTATTTATTGGCTGATCATGCTCAAAGTAACTAGAGAATATTTTAGTGAACTGTGTAGATTAAGAAAGGAATTTAGGAGCATATGGCTTGGTGATAGCTAAAATTAATTTCTTCAAAGTAATTTTTAGAGGCCTGTAGCAGCTAGACGGTACAATGCTAATAAAATATTAGTTGAGGGTTCACAAACTGCTGAACACTCCTCACTGAGAAATTTCAGAGTACTCGGCAATACTGCTCCTAATGATGCTATTTATCTAAAGAAGATTTTTTTTTTTTTTTTTATCCTTAGCTTGTAATACTTGGGGGCTGTTTTGTTGGTGAGGACTAGCTTAAAGGAATATAAAATTGTTTCTCACATATTAGTTCATTATTTTGTGGAGGCTTGCTAGAAATTACCTCTGTAAGTAACAGAAGCAGAATTGCCTGGTTTATTTCACAGTCGGGGTTTCTATAAGTATGCTGAACATAGCAGTGTATAAAGACCACGTGCATGTTAATTGAAGAGGGATTAAAATCTGTTCATTAGATTGGCAATTTCCAGGGTTTAAATTCAAAATTATTTTTAGTCCGTAACTTGAAATATAACTGCTGATAGAACTATTCAGTCCCTCAGATGAATGTCTTCAGAAATTATGCATGTGAGCTGGAGCATTTACATTTTGAAAGTGTTTTGTGTTGGAGTGCCAAGATTCTCGTACGAAATGTTTGGTGCATGTAATGAAAAATGAAAAGCATAGACAATACTTTGCTCAATTAAAAGATTTATTTTATAGCTGGTTAGGATGAAATTTGGCGTATTTTCAGATAAAAATTATGAAGTTTTGTGTATTTTCAGGTAGTAATTGAGTGAAACAGAATTAAAATATTCTATGATAGAGCGAGTTGAGGGCAAAATGAGTGTTTCTCCCTCATCTCAATCCTCGAAATGCAGTTTTGTCCTCCGAAAGGAAAATTAAGGAGTTGCTGATAAATGAACTGTCTCTTGTTAGCCTCCCACCTATCTTGGCTGAAAATCTGTCTTTTACCCACTGGTGTGGAGAGCGAGGGGAACACAAGGGTGAGGTCCATGTGTTCCAGGCCCAAGAGGGGTGCGGAGTGCTGGGCAGAGCCGTGCTCCGTGCGTGGCACAGCAGTGATCCCACAGGAACAGGATCTGCAGGCAGGCGGGCTACCATGGGAGCTTACTGCCAGAGACAGCAACTGGGCCATCTGGCTAAACTTTTTAAAATTAATTGTAATTTCGTCCAGATGAACGTTGCCAGGTTTGGATCAGGGTAAGAGAGGTTTTATTGTGGGTAAAGGAGAGGAGGAGGTGGAGAGAAGAAAGGGAAAGAGAATGGAGAGGGAGTTAGCTCTTCTAGATGTGAGTGCAGTCCGGGGTTCTCGTCTTTGTTGAATATGTGAGATGAGTAGGACTGTGAGGCTGGATTGTATTTTGTGTGGCTCTGTGGGTACAGCACTGTCTTCTCATAGTACATGCCAAGTATTCATAAACCTTCGGTAGCAGCTAAGCAGAAATAAAAGGAGTGGAAGGAATGCCTTTTTTCATCTAGTTTTCTTTGGGGAAAAAAAAAAACAAACTGAAATTTTTTTTTTTTTTTTTTTTTTTTTTTTTTTTTTTTTTGGGGGAAAAAAAAAAAAAAAACCGTTTTTTTTTTTTTTTTTTTTTTTTTTTTTTTTTTTTTTGTGGTGGGGGGGAGGTAATTCACATTCACTCATTGCTTCATCAGCTCCCCTGCGAGCAGAATGGGCTCTGTGCTGCACTCGGCCTCCATCCGTGTGCCACATGTTCCGTAAACCTTGGCAGGGCCTTGGTGCTCAGAGTCTGCCATGCACATGGGTGCTCAAGGCAGGGGCAGGCCCGTGATCATGACACCTTCCCTCAGGAAAATGGAAATGTGCTCTAATTAGGCATTTTTCCTGCTAACTGCATCAGTCCCTCGCAGCTTGAAGCAG